TAATTTATATATTTATTTGCCTGGTGGTGTCCATAGGTCCCTTATGATTTCTTCACTCTTTTTTCATTTTTTTCTTTATTGTTCCTCTGATTGGCTAATTTTAAATAATCTGTCTTCAAGTTTGCTTATTCTTCTATATGATCAAGTCTGTTGAATCTGTCTATTAAATGTTTCAGTTTTGTCACTGTATTCTTCAACTTTAGGATTTTTTTGGTTCTTTTTTATGGTTTCTATTTCTTTATTAAACTTTACATTTTATTTATGTATTGTTTTTCTTATTTTGTTTGTTTGTCGGTGTTATCTTGCATCTTATTGTTTCTTCTGAAAGGTGATTATTCTGAATTGTCAGGTAATTTATAGATCTTCATTTCTTTAGGATCTCTTACTAGAGCTTTATTAGTTTATGTTGGTGGTGTCATGTTTGCTGATTCTTTATCCATGTGGGCTTGCATTGGTGTCTGCATTTGAAGGAGCAAACACCTCTTTCATTCTTTTTTTTTTTTTGAGTTGGAGTTTCACTCTGTTGCCCAGGCTGGAGTGCAGTGGTACATTCATGGCCACCCCAGCATCGACCTGCTGGGCTCAGGCGATCTTTCTGCCTCAGCCATCCAAGTAACTGGAACTACAGATGCATGCTACCATGCCTGGCTAATTGTTTGATTTATTGTAGAGATGAGTTCTCACCAGTTGCCCGGGTTGGTCTTAAACCCCTGGGCTTAGACAATCCTCTTGCCTCAGCCTCCCAGAGTGCTGGGATTATAGGCTTGAGCCACTGTGTCCAGCCCACCTCTTTCATTCTTTACAGACTGATTTCGAATGGTAAAGATCTTCTGTTGGGTTCCTGGGCTGGAGGGAATGCCTGAGGATTACAGTTGAGTGGGTCACATGGTTGCTGCTGGGTCCACAGTGGGATTTGCAGTTGGTGGGCCTTAGGGTCTTGGGCAGGCATGGATCATGCATGGTCCCTGGGTAGACTAGACTGCCTCTAACACTTTGAGCAGTAGGTTTGGCTCTGGGACAAGGGTGCACTCAGTCACTGGCCCCAGACTATGCTAAGAGGGATGAAACCAAGTCACAGGGCTGCTTCAGGGTTCACAGCTGAGATGAAGGTCTGCATATCTGCCTCTGGGGCACAGATAGGCATGCCTCATGTCAGGTTCTTAGGTGGGCAGGATTGCCTTCAGACCATTACTGAGTGGGGCTAGAACTGGATCATAAAGCTCTTTCAGGATCTGCAGTCAGACTTAGATTGGTAGGCTTGCCTCTTGGGGTGCAGATGGACCTGTCTCCCAGTGCTTCCTGGGTGGTCAGGACTGCTTCTAGTCTGTGGCTGGGAAGGGGTAGAGTCAGTTCAGGGCTGCTTCAAGATCTGCAGTGGGATTGAAGTTGGCTGACCTGCCTCTGGGCTCAGAGATAAGTGTATCCTAGTAGGTCCCTGTGAAGGCAAGTCTGCTTTCATACTGTGGGGTGGGGGGTGGGGTGGGGTGGGGTGCTGGAGCTGAGTTACAGGGCTATTTCAGGATCTATAATGGGACCAAGGTTAGCAAAACTGCCTCCGGAGGCATGGACTAGTGTGTCTTTCAGGAAGTCCATGGGCAGATAGTTCTGGTGACAGGATCAAGGCCACACAGGGCTATAGCTAAGTCCATAGCGGAATGAGTATATTTCTGGATCCGTAGCCTGGACCGCAGTTAGCAAGCCTGCCACCTGCTCGTAAGCCTGCTCTCTCACAACAGCGTCCTCAACCCTGGGCTCCATTAGGATTTTGCAGCCTCCTACCTGAGTCTCAAGGCTCCCACAAAGGCACTTTTGTTTGTGGATGGCTGCCAAACTCTTGTCACTATGAGTGCATACAAGTGGTGGTGGGGCTTCTATTTTGCCACCTTACTGACAATTACCTTCACTTGGTGATCCTCCCAATCTCCTTATATTTTTCTTGAGTCTTTTAAAAATAGATTTGTGCTAACCTATGATTTCTGCCCCTCCCTTTTTTCTCTTTGATAGCACAAAACACTTTTTACAGACCATTCTAGCTTGCTGTATTATCTAAAGTTCTCAGGGTGCTGGCTCTGGTGATTTTTCCTTTTTTGGGCTTAGTACATTTTTAAAATTTGAGCCCTCATCTCTGGGGCTTTGTGATTTCTCTGAGGAAATCTCATACTGCCTCACTGTGGATGAACCCCTCCAGGTACTTTTGTATTTGCTCTTTTTTTTTTTTTGGGTCAACCACTGATCCTTTGGCAGGGTGGGGAGGGGAGTTATTTTTTGGCACAGACCTCAGGGCGGCATACGCTTTCTTGGCCACTCCCTGGTGGTAGGGATAACCTTTTTGTTTCTTTGAGGTTTCCAGACCACCCAGAGTTTCAGTCCCAGATCCCAGCCCCCATCTCCTCCCTGTGTGCACCCATCACTCCCAAGCCTCGACCCTGAGAGGACATTTCTGCCTGACACACCACCTCCACTCCCTGATTCATTGCAGCCTCTAATTTGATTTTTCTTTTCAGCAATGGGGTTTTTAGTTTTTCTATGACAACAGGTTATTGACTTTGTGAAACTGATTTTGCCCAGCATTTCGATATTTGAGAGGAAAGGGGGTTATTTTAGTGGATTCTAACTGTGTTGCTGTAACCTTTTCAAATTAGACATTTCCCAGTGTTTCCTTCTGGTTTTTGTAATTCCCACATCAGGACAGTTGGTCTGACTCCCCAGGTCGTCGCTGTGTATCTTGAGATCTCCTAGAAGTTTTTTGCTGGGCTCATTTTTGTGCTCTCCCAGATGGGGTATAAAAATGGGTCTTTTGCTAGAAACTGTTCACCCTTTCAGGCTACACAAAAGCAGGGAAATCCTTACAGCCACTGAAGTTTCACTTTGTGGGTTGTTCTCATCTGGGACGGGCCCCTGTGCACAGAGGGACAGCCTCCTGGGCCGTGACTGCCCCCAGCTCCTCATCACACAGCCCTGATGTCTTGGTGAAGCCTGTAGGTGTCACTATCCCTGGCTCACCCTCAAGCCAGCTGCAGTGGCCTTGTTGCTGGGGTTTCTCAGTGTAGTCCTGTCACCTTCCCCTTCTTTGATGGCTCTTCCATGTGCCCTTGCCACATGTCTTCCATTTCCAGTGGGGAGACAGATGCCCTGGTTGTGATCCTTTTGTGATTTCAGTAGTGGTTTAGAGGAAGGTAGACATGGAGTTGGGAATCAATCTTCCACCCTAGACCCAAGGGAGCACTTGGATTACAAATGGTGTTTCTTGACAGAGGGCCTTGTCCCCAGGTAAAGGGACACTTAGGATCACCTGGAGGGAATCAGTGTGTGTGTGCACACCCATGGGTGTGTCTGAATGTGTGTGTACTGCGCATGTGTGTATTGGAGAATGTGCATGTGTGTATGGGTGTGTACATGTGTTGCAGACACCCACAGGTGCTGTGGGTCGCTGGGACCACCGCTGCTGCTGGGCTGGGACACTCAAGGGAGGCTTATTGAGAAGCAGCTCTCTCCCTGTCAGTGTGGCTGGGTCAGAATATCTGTGGCTTCCCGAATTCCCCGTGGGAGTGAACAGGGTCTGAGATCCAATGATGGCAAGAAGGGGCCTCACCCAGACAGCCTCCTGAGGCAGCACCAGGGCAGACAGGATTTGGGAGCTCAGGGGTGGCCTAAGGGGAGGCAGGGTGCATGCTCCAAGGGCAGGGCTATGAGACCAGCCAGAATGCGTCCCTTGTCCAACTGCTCCTGGCCTGCTGGCTGTCCTGTACTGAGTGTCTCTCTCTCTCTTTCACCTATGTCCTCTTTTCCTTCACAGGTAAGGTGTGTTTGTTTAAGAAGGATGTGCAGAAGCACTCGAAGCAACTGGACAAGGTGATGACTCAGAAGCCAGAGGCCCTGCTGGGCCGGTTGAAACGTGTCTATTTCACCAACAGTCACCAATAAGCATCTGTGTCTCTAGCCTGCCCAGGGAGAGGATGTTACCCCACCCTCATCTCCCAGGGGAGGAGCTGGGCTACCAGGCACTGGGGCTTTCTTGGGACTGTGGAGGCGCAGGTGGGTGATGACAGTCACCATCAGGGGCCTGGCCACTGCAGGTGTCCTGGGGGAGGCCGCACAGGGCTGGGTGGAGGCTTGTCTTCCTCCTGGGGTGCCATCTGCCCCTATGTGCTCTCATGATCACAAGGGGCCAGGAGGTCCCAGTCACTGGGGAGCCTCAGTGTTCCTAGGTCTCAGGTGATAGAAACTGTTAAATGCTGCCAGGCAGATGGGTGTGGGCTGCAACTTCCAATAAAGTAGCTTCTCAAGCTATGCCCAGGGGAGTGGGTGCTTCTGTGAGTGCCGCAGTGTGGGCTTCTCAGCCTCTGCCAGGGAGCCTGGCACCCCAGCATAGTGTGACTCCACAGTACCAGGGACCCCCTTAAGGATTATGCTAGACCCTCCTCCTGGGGGCACAGGGTGGCTGGGGATAGGCTGGTCTATCAGGATATCCTGCCTGGCCTGGCCTGAGGACAATGCTGGTTCCCTTGCTCTGGCCTCCTAAGCATATCTGAGGCCACCTGGAAGGACCCAGAACCTTCCTGGGTTTAGAGGATCTGGGTGTTATATGTCCAGAGTAAGGGTGGGAAGCCGGGGATAGGCAGGGCTGCCAGAGGTCATCTGGGGTCTCTATGCCTTGGCTTCTTCCTTCTCACACCAAGTAAGGTGTTCCGTTTAAGACAGACTTGAGTCTGCCAGGATGCAGATGGGTTGATGGGATCCTGCACGTGGCAGTGTTGGGGTCACTCCCCTCTTCCAATGTTCCCTAAGTCACACCCTGTTTTGCATAGCCCTGGGCACACACTTGGAGTCTTTGGCCCCTTTACCTCAACAAAACATCTTTCCTGGTTCCCAAAATTCCTTAAGTAACTACAATTTACCAGTCAAATGTGCATACTTATACACACACACACGCACATGCATACACAGGCACACATACATGGCCTCCACTGGGGCCTTGCAAGAGGCAGGACCACAGCAGCTCCATGAGGTCTCGTCTCTGTAGGTCTCCAGCCTTTTATTCATACAAGGACTCAAATAACACACGTCATCCGCTGACACTGAGTGGTGGGGGGACCTCGTGAAGAAGGGCACAGCAGGCTTGGCCACTGTCCTGACCAGTGACCTCTCAGGGCTGCCCCTTCCAGAGACGTGTGTAGGGTGGGGGCCAGAGCACCGACCCTGGGTCATCAAGTGCAGCAGGAATGCTGCTGTCCTGGTACCTGGGGTCCCTGCACAAGAGCTCCTAGCCCACTCCTGCCCTGGGAGAGCTACTATGGGTTGGGCCTGCCTGTGAGGAGCCACCTAGGGGGTGCACAGGCAAGGGGGCCTGGACCAAGATGTCCAAGGTCAGGATCCAGAGGACAGGAGCCAGGGGACCTGGCCAGAAATCAGAGACCTCGGGCCACTGTGCTGGTGGGTGGCCTCTCCATCCCAGTGACAAAAAGCAAAGCAGTGCTAAGCGGCCTTCTCAGGGTCCATGTGGGCCAGGACAGCTGTCCCCAGCTAAGGGGGCTCAGCATTCCCCAGACCCTTGGTGTCCTCCTCTCCCTCTTAGGACCCCTTCCTAGTAGGATGCCATCCCCTTCCCAGGGCCTTGAGGCAGCTAGGGCAGAGGAGGGAGCGCCTGCCCAGGCCTGGGGGAGAGGCCTTGACAGTCTTAATGAGCAGGGAGCACGCACATCCTGGGCCACAGCAGTTTGCCAGGGTCCAAGGTGGGCCCGGGTCCCTCCAAAGCTATTTGGGAGGAGTTGAGATAGTATCTCTCAGTGAACAAGAAGTGTCAGTAAATGTATGTACGCCTGGAAAAGCCCTTAACTGTCAACATCCCCCTCCCCTGCCCCCTGCAGCTGGCCAGGGTCAGGAAGGGACCCAGGCATCCCTGTCTGCAGTGCCAGGCCTTACCAGCCATCCAGCACCCCTGTAGCCAGGTGATAGCCATGGGTCACTCAAGCCCTGGCCTGTATCACCTGGAGCTGGAACCTGGCTCCTGGTCTGGGTGGGGTGGAGGCAGGAGGGTCCAGGCTGCACTTCAGCATTTGGGGGTTTTCATGCAGGCCTGTATCCAAGCAAGGCTTGCTCTATGAGCCCCATATGCAAAGGGACAGGCCACATCTGTAGAGGGCCCACACTGCTTCCCTGGGGTTGGGGACAGTATCAACAACAAAAGCACGATAGTGAGAGCGCAGGTGTGGTCAATTGCCCCTTGGCTGTGCATCGAGGGAGCCCTCACAGCAGGCTTTTTGGAGGACAAAGTCTAGATGCACTATCAGCAACGGTGTCTTCTCAGGGCCAATCTTGCAGATAGGCTCTCACCCAATGTGGGGGCCCCTCAGTGGCAAAGGGAGGGTTGGGGCCCTGGCTTTGGAGCCCTTGCTGAGTTGGAAGGTGTCATGCATAATCTCAAAGGCTCCGCAAGACCCTGGACGGTGGACACCCCAATGGCCCTTGCAGGGCTTCAGGGGGACTGAGGGGTAAGCCTCGCTTTCCGAGGTCCCAGCTGGTTGGGTCTGTGGCGAGTCCCCAGCAGGAGGAGGCAGGAGAGGAAGGCACAGGCTCGCTCACAGTCTCCAGCAGGACATTTCTAACAGTGCCTCCTCCGCAGACCTTGGTGGGGGCTGCTTCTGCAGTGGTGCAGGGGGCTTGGGGATAGGAGGTGGACAGCCCCTGAGGTCCCTGAAATACATGGCTTTTGGGGACACTGGCTCCCAGCTGACCTGAGGACCTCATACAAAATTAAAAGCCAGGAAGGCAGGTGAGGCTAGGCCTGGGGGCCAGGAACCCGGCACACCCTGCCCCACACACTGCTGTTGTCTCTCCCTGTCCCGCCCCTGGCCTCTCTAGGCCAAAGGGCATTAAATATCATCTGTTTTGTGTTTTGGCAAAGATAGTCCTCAGCCTCAGTCCCTGGGGAACGGGGCAGTTACCGCCACCGGGGCCTGATGACTGCGAGGGCTGGGGTGAGAAGGAGCGGCAGAAGGATGGTGCAGAGCTGGGGGTGGCTGGCGGCTGAAGTCTTCTGCCCCTCCCGTTCAGACAGACCGGGGAGGGCGTGAGTCAAGGGTGTCCGAGAGCTGGAGCTCTTCTTGCTGACCCTCCGGCCACAGAGGTCATCTGGGCAGCCATCGCCGCTGCCTGAACCACTACCGTCGTCGCCTGGGAAGGAGAGGAGGCTCCAGCAGACCCGTCCTCACCCGAGGATCCAAGTGCAGCATCCCTCCATGAAGTCCCCACATGTTGTGTGGCCCCAATGTCCTTGATATGTGAAAGCCCTGACCCCAGCAGCCTGACCTAGTGTGAGGCCTGGAGAGACTCACTCCCTGGGTCTGCCTTCATGGTCCCCACCTGAGCTAAGGCTGGATGGACATCCTGGCCAGGCCTCGATTGTGCTGCAGGGACGAAGGGGGCTTGGTGTCTACACCTGGGCAGCAGCAGTGCTCCCAGAGCCACTGTGGGGGCATAGGGGCTACGCGTGCCCAGGGTGGGAGAACCTGGAAGGTGCCCCTGCATCTTTCCTCTTCTGGATGGGGCCATCACACCCCTGTGGGAGCCCTCACAGCTCTCAGTCCCTCCCCAGGGCCTATCCTTACTGGCATCCTGGAAGTCCACATCGTTGCCATTGTAGGCACTGCGCAGCCGGTTGGTCATGATCTTCAGTTGCATGATCTGCTGCCGGATGGTCATGTCTGGCTTGGTGATGTCTACCTCCACCTCAGGGTTGTTGATCTGGTTGGCCAGGCCATCGCCCATTACTTCAGGGAGGTACCTGGGGGCAAGGTAGGAAGACCCCAGGTCACTGGGTCAGCTCCTGTGAAAGGACACTGCCCTAGTAGGACATCCCTACCCCCAGGATCAAGATGCCCATGGGCCTCCAGGAGCTGCCAGGAGTCCACTCAGGCTCACAGGATTGGGGCCTTGACCCCTTGAGGGAGATGCATGCTGCAGGGAGCTGGCATGGGGGTGTGGCACTGGCATGGGGGGCATTTCCTTCCATCCCAGTTTCCAAGTCCTGCTGTGCATCACGTGCAGGATGTGGTCCCATGCACACAGCATTTGGTACCTAAGCCAAGCACACCCTAGTGGAGACCCCATGGGAGGGAGGGCTACAGCCAGCCAGATGTGCACCTACCGGCCCCTGGCCATCCCATTCCAGCAACGGTCATCACTGGCGGTGCTTAGGGCCATCTTCTCACTACACAGCGTCCCTGGAAGGCTGATCCAGAAGTCCTGGACGTCACGGAGCTGGGCCTTGGCCTCAGACACCTGCCAGACAGCAGTCAGGCCACTGGGCTGCTAGGGCCAGACTGCCCCTATCTGTCTGCCCTCTCCCATGCCCAGGGCATGGCCACAGCCAAGGGCTGGTGGAGGGGCCACTCACCAGCTTCTCCAGCGTGCCTGTGGGTGGCCTCTCCTGCAGTGTCAGCTTGCCCCGACGCCGCTTCTCCTCAGGTCCAGAGCCTTGAGGGTTGACCTTGGGATTCCCACAGCCCTGGATGACCTGGGGAGACATGGCAGGGTTCCTGAAGGGGCAGCGGGGCCCCTCAGGCCCAGACAGACCCATATCTGGAACCTCTCCCCCACCCTGTGCTCACCACACCCTTCCATCCGCACCTTGGCTGTGAGTGTGTCCCTGTTGTCCTGGAGGGCATTGATGGCCTCTGCCAGCCACGTGTGCACGCTGCCGATGACACTCTCCACACCTGATGCACCCCAGAACTTGTCGGTGATGAGCACCATGGAGTCTGGCACAGGCATTAACACATGCACACACACACACGTCACCATGTGTGCATGTGGATAGAGCACAGTCTTGATGGCATAGGTCATGGGAGACTGGTGAACACACACCCAGGTTGGCCTTGCTTATGATCACATGTGCAGGACATGTGCATTTGTCAGCATAGTCCACACCCAAATGTGTTAATGTGTGTCCACAGGCACAGGCTAACATGAACATACATGGAGGACATTTTGCATGCTTGCTGGCACACCTCGTCTCCATGTATGTCCATACTGTCTCATGCAGGTGTTGATATGTACCCATGCTAACCTACCCCAGATTACTCATGTGCACATTAGCCCATGTGAGCTGGAGCATATGCATATTGGCTCACCTCATGCCATGCATGTACAGATTAGCTTCTGTGTGTTGCATGTATGCACAGCCAACAATGCACATGTAAAACTTACACATTTTGGGAAGTTTTCCTGTTGGCTCCCACCATGCCATCACATGCACATTAGCACATATGTGTTGGACCCAGGTCAGCACATGTACATGCTAGCACATTCATGTTGGCATATAAGGATGCTGATCCACCTCACGTCAGCACATGCACATGCCAGTTGATATGTGCTGATAAGTATGGACACATTAGCATACGTGCATCAGCATATATGCATGACAGCCTACCTCACATCAGCACATGAACATGAAAGCACACCATGTTGGTATGTGCTGCCCACTGTGTGTCAGCATGTACACATGCCAGCTCACATGTGCTGGCCTGTCACGTGTCAGTACACATATGTTAGCTCATGCATGTGTTGGCCCACCATGTGTCACACACATGTTGGCATGCATGTTACGGCACTCCCTCAGTGACAGGAAGCTATGACCCCACAGGCCCCCCGCCTGGGCAGCTTGCCTAAGTCATACACTACTTGGGACATTCAAAGGGCATCCTTATCCCTCGACCCCACAGCTCTACCCAGATCCAGCCCTGCTCAGAGTCCAAGCCCTAAGCCAAGGACCACTGCATTCCCGGATACCAGCTGGTTCTCCGGAGAATGGGTCTGGGATACTCTGGCAGGGGAGCTCACCCAGGAGGTTCCTCCACTCAGCATCCAGGTCGGCCTGGTTGGCGAGGCAGCCCTTGAGCACGTTTCGGCAATAGTCGGGGCAGGGCCGGGCGCCAGGGACCCCCAGGCAGTGGGCACAGTAGACCAGCTTCATAACAGCCCGTGAGCACTCTGGGCCCAGGGGCACCTGTAGAGTGAAGGCAGCCTGAGCCCAGCGCCAAATCGCAGGAGGTACCTATGGACCCCTGCCCAGCTCCTTAAAGAAGCCTGGTGTGGAGGGCTCTGGATGGACATGAGAGGAGGTGTCTGCTCTGCCCTGTCCTGCAGTGGGATCTGGCCTACCCCTGGTGGCACTCATTCTAATTATCGCAATGGTCACAGGACACACTGTTGTTACTAATGCTCACAGGGAAGAGTGAATAACCCCACCTGCCATGCAGATGAGGAAACTGAGGCTCGGAGGTGACTTGAGAAGCAACCCAGTTAGAGGTGGAAGCAATTCACACCTAGGGCTGTGTGGGTCTGAAGCTGACGCCCTCCCTCATACCCACCTCAGGAGGGCCTGGCAGGTGCAAGGCCTTGGGAGTCCCAACCTGCCAGAGCCCAAGCATGTTGCAGTTTTCTGTCTCCTGTCCATCCTAACACCACAGCCAGCCTCAGCATCCAGCCCCAGGCCCTCTGGTCCTTCCCATCCTGCCCAGGACAAGCCTGGCCAGGGATAGGCAGTGGGTGGACCAGCCTAGAACCACCTGCCCAGAGCAGGGCTCGGGTCTGTCTGTGGCTGTGCTGTAGGCAGGCCATGGGTAGCAGCTGATGCAGGAGAGACTGAGGCAGTGAGTCCAAGGCCAGGAGGCTGGCATGGAGGCTTAGGGACATGGGGCTGAGTTTGGGGAAAACAAGAAGCAGCTGGGGCAGAGCAAGGGGGTCCAGAGGGGCTTCTAAGACCTGGGTAGCTGTGCACACCTGGGCCACCTTCCGGACCACATCGCTGGCCACTCCTAGGCCCTGCACAAAGGAGCGTGCGGCCACGAAGGCACGGGTGGCCCGCAGGCGCAGCTCCCGCGGGGCCTCCCCAAAGGGCCGCAGTGCCTCTGCCTGCTTGCCCAGGCAGTCCAGGTAGTCGTCAGGTAGAAGCAGCTGGGGGTGCAGCTGCTTGAAGAGACGTTCGAGCAGGCGGGCCCAGAACTCGGCCAGCGTCTCCTCCAGGTGCAGGTTGGCGCCCCGGTAGTAGAGGCGCAGCTCTGTGTACAGGTCCCGGAAGGCCCTGGTGTTCTGCGTGTACAGCTCTCCAAAGGCTCCGGGGAAGGCATCCTGCAGCGCCCGCTCAGAGTCGTTCAGCAGGTGCTGGAAGTGGTCTGTGCACAGGGGAGGGGGTGTGAGGCCTTCGGGGGGGGGTGCGCTTTGCTTTCCCACCCACCAGCCTGAATGTTGTGGCAGCCAGACTGCATGCAGAGGGCTTAGCCTGGGAGACCCACTGCTCTGACAATATCTTGTATGGTCCTCAGAGTCAGACATCAAGTTGCAGAGGAAGACGGGCCCTGTGCATACCCTTGGGGCTCCCCAAGACCTTAACTCCCTGGTCTGGGGAGTAGAGGTCCAGGTTGGGGGGTGTCTCCTCTTGGGTCTCAGGTCTCTGTGGCCTCAGGGTCTCTGACTGGGGCTCCAGTGGCCGTTTCTGACTTGGGCTTTGGACAGAGAATAGGCGCTCTCTGCCCAGATACACGAAGCCCAGCAAGGGGCTAAGGAGCAAATGTCTCCAATACAGCAGTTGGTATAGACCTGTGAGGCCTGCAGGGGTCATTCAACTTCTCCTGTCCCTGGCTATAAAGAGCTGAGGTATGGCCACCCCTAGGCAGGGCCATCACCTGCAGCCCTGTCCCCAGCCCACAATCTCCACCCACAAGCTGAGCTCTTTGACTCCAGGTCTCCTGGAGCCCAGGGATGACAGTCTGGGAGGCTGTCTCCAGAGGTGCAAGGCTTATCCCTTTGCAGGTGCTCAGGAGAACTCGGACAGTGACAGAAGCCACCTTGAGGGCAGAGGGTCCCCTCTGATGGAAATGACAGGCCCTCTTTTGCCAAATGTGCACTGGTATCAGGTGTGCATACCCCAGGGTGGACATAGAGCCCTGCCAATCACTCCAGGGCTCACATATGCCCTGCTCAGGCTCCTGCACAAAAGCAACCCCCTCAAATTCCAGCGGGGCCTTTAACAACCCCCCATGCCACACCCTACCTTCCTCATACCAAATCCCCACCCATCGACCCAACCTCACCAGGTGAGGCCCTTGCACGCCCAACTTCCACTGTGCCAGAACCCCAAAGCCCCGAGCACAGGAGATTCCCACTTACCATCAAAGCCACGCAGCTGGGTAGCCAGCATGGCCTGCAGAGCACGGCTGCTGTCGCGGAGTGCGGTCTCCAGCTCTGCACGACTGCGGTTGGCCAGGTTCTCCTCCATCTCACTGGTGCAGCAGGTGTAGCCCTGGGGGCAGATCCGCAGGTGCTCACCTGTGGGGAGGGGCTGGTGTGAGGGAGAGGAGATAGCTATGGGAGCCAGGACAGTGGCCCCAGGCTCTCCTGGGAAGAGGGATGAGGATGACAGGCCTAGGATGTGCCAACCGGGACAGGGCACACCTCATGGGCTGAAGAGCCTGGGGGCACCCCTGGGTGAAGGCAGAGACAGGGGCAGCCCTGATGGGCCCTGCAAACCCCCACTCCCCTAAACATGACAGGCAGGGCTTCCTCTGCAGGGCAATGGCCCTGACTTCTCAGGCCCCTTAGGTAAGCCCCAGGGGTAGGGACCTGCACCCCAGCTTGCTGCCACCATGCACATGAGGAGGACCCATTCCAGGGACCCCAGTAAAGAATTGGCCACAGTGTGCTGTGTGGTACATGGAAGGGGCTGCTAGGCCCAACAGGTGTCCCTTGCCTGAGGCCATGGCTGAGAATGGGGAGAAAGGAAGGAACCCAGGCCTCTCCCACACCAGCCCCCAGAGGCACCAAGCTCCCACTGCAAGGACAGCAGACCCCACCAACAGTGGGGATGTCTGGCCAGGATGATTCTGGGCTGGCCAGAGGCAGCGGCACTGCAGGACCCCAGGCACACGTCTAATGAGGGGACAGGCAAAACCATGCAGGGGTCATCTGACCATACCCCAAGTCACTCGCCCAGCAGGATACACCCTATGATGCCTTGTGTCCTTGTGAAGTACTCCCCTCTGTAGCCTGTCCCAGGCTGTTCTGCTAGGGCAACCTGGGCAGTGTTACAGGGGTGGCACCATCGGAGACAGCCTTGCCTCCCTATGTGGAGTGAGGACGGGCTTTGACTCAACACTGAGGCCTGCAGTGAGATGGCACAGCATGACAGGGCACACTGCGGGGCCCTTCAGTGTTTGGTGCAGGCAACTTAATGAACTGGAATATGTACATTGCATCGGGAAACACTGCATGTTTAAAAAGGTGCTAATCCCGTGTCTGTAAAGACTTCAGCAATCCCCATTTTATAAACCAAGAAACTGAGGCTTGTAGAGATTAGGTCTTTTGTCCCAGTTATACCAGCATGGATGGAATGTCTCAGGTCATTGAATTCAGACCCCTACACCTACTGGGCCACACCACTTCTTGTAGGCCTCTTCTCCTGCCTCTAAGGCTCAGAGGAAGAAGCCTTCAGCTGGTGCCAGCCTGGGTCAGGCACACTGGAGAGTTGGAGGCAGGGGCCTGGCTTGGACAGAGGAGCTGGGGTCAAGGGAGGGGTTGGCAGGGATTCCAGAAGCATTTCTCAGTACCAACACCTCAAGTGGCCAGGATGAAGCCTGAGAACCAGTGAGATGCCCAGTCCCCGCCACAGCTTGAAGGGGCAGCCTTGTGGACACTGGCCCAGGGTGGCTGGATGTGGCCTATCCTACACTCGTTTACCCCTTGCCTTCCTGCCTGGGGGTCAGCGGGAAGGCCAAGACTGGGAAGGATGGGCCCGACCTCAGCCTGGGATGGGATAGGAGAGGAAGTAGGGATTCAAAGTGACCCAGAGGGAGCTGGCAGCAGCGTGGGAAGGGGTATAGCCCTGCTGGGAGATGGGACCCTGAAATCTGAGACCCAAGTATTGTGGTCCAGGAAGTCTTTTCCCACTAGAAGTCACTTAGGGGTGGGGATCCAAGGCCGAGTAATCATCCAGAGACCAAATTGACACTAAGGAGCTGTTGGAATGATCAGGTCAGACTATGTCTGAATATCTTGATCTTCTGTGTCCCCTATGTACAGCATCCAAGGAGGAAGTTGAGACAGGTAGAGAGAATAAAGGAGCCGAATTTTGGCTCAGGTGGGCTGCAGGATGGGCCCCTCTGCACACTGAGTCCCAGGTGCCTACAGGGGCCTGGGAGAGCCCACCCGGAGCATGAGGAGGAGGAAAGGAAGGCAGAGGACAGACAGCTCCTCCCCTACTGCAAACTAACACCCCTCTGGCTTTATCAAGACCCCTCTGGGGTCTCAGGCAAAGTGTTCCCTTCTTGCCCTCTTTTCCTGTCTCGGGGTCCTGGAATGTTCTGATGCAGGGGGTTCTGGCATGAGCGGGTTGGGGGGCTCTCATTCCAGGCCCCACATGAAGCAGCCATGAGCAGGGCTTTGTGGCCAGTGAATGCCAGCATGCTGCAGGGCCTGGAGTGATGCTCCCATAGGCACTGGAGGCAGGCTGCTGGACAGAACAGGGCTGACCTCAGGCAGACAGCCGGGAACAGCAAGCCCACCTGTGCCTACCCACCGGGAAGCCTCAGGGGCCTGCTGTGTGGGGGAGTTGGGGGTCTGAGGCAGTCTTAGGCTAGGGGGGCTTCGTGGGAGCCAGCTGGGAGCAAGAATGGAGCCTGGCTCTGAGGCCCTCGAGGCCTGGTAGAGAAGAGCCACTCCCCCAACTCCCACTCCAGTCCCTGTCTGTCCTGTTCCTTCTCAGGTGGGTAGAAAGGCGCCTCCAAACAGGGAGACTGGAACCCAAGAACCTTCACCAGTGACCATTCTTCACTCTGCAGTCTTTTTTGACTGATGTGATGTGACCCTGGGCTCCCCCCAGCAGGGGGCAAGATTCAAGGCAGGGACCTCCCCTCAGGGTTTTCTAGGGGGGGGAGTGCATTAGCCAGCCAGGCTGGGCAGACACAGGACACGTGTTTCTAGGGGTGGGTATGGGGGGCCTATGGGGTTGTGATAGGGCCCTGTGCAACCACCAGAGAAGATTTGAGCTTCCCCCACCCCATGCTGCCCAAAGGCACTCCCACCTCCCCTTCCATCAGCAGAGGCCAAGAGAACACCTGGAGTGAGGGTGTGAGGATCCACGTGGGACAGCTGGGCTCATGGGAGTGCTGGGTAGGCAGTGGGCTAGGGAACGTGCCAAGGGAGAGGAGGCAGCAGGTGCCAGCCTGGGGCTTCCAGGTGATACCCTGGGCTCTGCTGTGACGGGGCACCTGGCCGGGTTTGCTGGGTCTCAGGCAGTGGGTGGGCAGGCCCAAGACTCCTCCTACTGTGCTCCTCTCTCATGAGCCCTCTTGGGAGTCTCTGGGGGACTCACTCCCCACTCCTCACCATACAGGCAGGAGAGAGAAGCTGATGAGAGATAAGGAGAGGTGAGGCCCAAAATACCCACGAGATATGGGAGCTGCCCCACCTGCAAGTTCTGAGCAGGGCTCCCTGGCCAGTCAGCTACCTGCTCACAGCTATGTGCCAAACCCCACCCCCACCCTTTGGTCCCCTTGGGCCCCCCTGGCCCTGCCTGGCCACCTCGCCCAGCCAGCCCGGTGACCTGCGCTGTTCCGGCCGCCCCAGCACAGCCCCCGTCCCTCCCTCCCTCCTCGGACAAACACGGGAGTGAAGACACGGAGCCAGAGCCCGGACGCCGGCCTGAGGGCCCCGGGCAAGCTGGGCCGAGGCGGCCCCCTGAGGCCTGCTGCAGGTCAGACACGTGGCAGTCAAGGGCAGGAGCCTCCTGCTTTCTTCTGCACAGCCCTGGCCCAGCACAGACCTGGGTCTGCAGGTGAGTCTTGTTCCTTGACATCAGATGGGTGGAGGTGGGTTCTGCAAGGCCCCCAAGGCACCTCCAGAGAAGCAAGCCCTCCTTCTGGGAGAACGGCTGGGGGTGGGGTGTGCCTGTCTGCCTGGAGAGCAACAGGAACAAGTCCAGCTGTCGGATCAAACCCCTCTGTCCCCAAGTGCTCCCCTTCTCTCAGCTCAATACCTGGAGAAAGGAGAGGTCTCAGACCAGGAGGGAACACTCCCTGTGTGTCCTTCTCTCACTCTTTCCTAGAGCTGCCAAGCTCTTCCTCTGAGAGTACCAACTCACCTGGTTTTTCCCTTTCTCCAGTAAATCTAAAGGAGGCATTTTTCATCTCAGAGGTGAGCCTGCCAGCAGCCCCTCCCTCCTTTGCTAACCCTCAAAAGGCATCAGCACCCTCCTTTCCCACTGACCCCTCCCATCTGCACTGGGGCTACTCTAATCAAGGTTTCCAGGCCTGTCCCCAGCTGGGCCAGTGACTGTCTCCTTCTTTCTTCCCTGACCCTGTCCTTCTAGAACTTTCCCTCAGTCTTTGGGATGCTTCCCTCCCCTAGTGCTCTCAGGACTTTTTTTGGGGGGGGGGAGGGAGATGGAGTTGTTTGTTTCATGCCAGGTTTGTCCCCTATCCCAGTCCCTTTGAGGCTTCTCCTCCTGGCCCAACCCCCAAATCCAAATCCTCCCAAATTCCCAGGACCATTATCAGGTGAAAATACCAAGTACTTGTCTCCTTGACTCTGCTTCTCCTCATTAAGCCCCCCACCAGACTCCTCCTTAAACTCCTTTTAGACTCACACCCTCCTGCCACCTGCTGACACAGCTGCGTCCCTACCCAGCAGCCTTCCCTATGGTCATCAGCACTCTCACCCCAAAGCTTTAGCCAAGACCCCCATCTGGACAGCAGTCACCAGCTCTGATGCTGGACAGAGACTTCACTTATTCAGACCCAGCCTGGCAGCCACCCGTGACCAGTGGCCCTGCAGCCCTCCCAAGGAGACTGCAGAGAGATGATGGCGCCATGCCAAGCCCAGCCATCCAGAAGCTTCCACAGCTCACACAGGAGGTGCAGACGATAAACCTGCCTTTACAGTCATGTCCTAGATGTGCTGCGCCAATAGACCCCCACCCCAAATCACTGGAATTCAGCATGGTGCTAAAACACAGCAGTGTAGATGGTTCAGGCACCATGGCCTCCACAGCATGCAAGGGAGAAGCCCAGGTCTGCTCCTTTCTCCCCTCTACTCAGTTCTGGACCCTGCAGCGGGCCTTTTTGGCTGACCATGGGGGTCAGGAGGCTTTCCCTAAGCCCCAAACACTCTTCCCAAAGCCTGCCATGCCCACTGCTCCCAGAACCCATCCAGCTCGGGTGGCTTGCAGGATCCTCCTGGCATGTCCAGCAGCCCGCTTGGAGGGAGACACTAGGCAAACGGCTGGGGTTTCCCAGCCCCCAGGCTCCAGAGGACCTTTTTTCTCATCTTCGCCC